TGCATAGTCAACCTCAGAAAGAGGGCGTGGATTGAAAAGATGCGGTGTGTAAAACAGTGTGATCTCCAATCCTTTACTGCTTAATCCACCGTGATTATTAGAGTTTAGTGTCAACCATTGTGTTAGCTTGTAAGAGGGTGTCAGCTTTGGTATTTTCTAACCACCTTTTGACATTTTAATATTATCATAGTGAAGACAAACAAACTCGTACCACAAAACAGCACAAAATTAATCAAATTCATAATACTTGCTCATGTTTGTGGTGTTTTTTTACCCACAAAAACGATGTAGTTTCCTGTTGGTTGACTGATGCAGCCTTCCTATCAGGATTATTATAAATTGGCCGAATGGCTGCACTTGAGATCATATAGTTTCCTTTAGTCTTGTACCCAAAAATCTACAATTACAACTAGTATTTTCTGACAATCATGTAAAGGCAGCATTAGGACCTGGCTTTTGTTGGTTGAAGGGATAATACACAAGGCTTTGGATAGAAAGTTGAAGTGCAGAAAAGCCTATAAAATATTATCAACTAAAACTAATTTTGCAGGGAAACATGTTTTGTTTGAAACATTTTGTATTAGGGAATCAGCATGCTAACAACTGGAGATAACAAAAATGACAACATCTATTCGACCCAAAGTATAGTAAAATTATTTATTCACCCCCATGCTGACTTATTCTGATGATGTGATAAAAGAAAGCTAACTAATATGATGTTAATCTTTAAAAAATTGTGAGTACTGTATAACAGGAATGATCCAGCTAGCCTACTTGGCTGAATATATTTTGTTGAATGTGCCATTCAGAAGACATTACAAGATTTAGAAGAATAGAGCATGATGTAAAATATCACTTTTAAAGCTCAAAGCAGCTGACAAAAGCTGAATTTCATCCAGTTTGTTGAAATCTTTGCTGCAAGTCAAGTGAAGGTTTTTCCTCTCCAAGGCCGAGATACAGCATATTGTTTTTTTTTTTATTCAGCTCATTTCTGTATAAAAATTAGAAATGTGTTTAGAATGAGTTCAAAATTAGAATGGTTATTGTCATGGTGTAAAGAACAGAAACTGCTCTTTGTTAACAATTGGAATCTCTGCATATTGAAGATGTTTTCAGCAACAGCATATGATTAGATGTTTTGAGTTGCTTTTTGATTTATTTTGAAGGACATTTTAAAAGAACATTAAATCTCAGCACACAGAGAAAATCATGGGGTGGAAAAGTAAAGGCAGAAGGTGGGGGATGGTGAAGTACAGGTCTGGAGATGCATTTTCACAAATGAGAGGTGAGAGGTCAGACATCTTTGAGGAAGTTATGGTTATTGGCGTTTCCTTTCAGAAGCTGTTGGCTAACTGTGTCATTACGTCTTTATATTTTATAACTACCAACCTTCTTATTATAGTTATTCTTTTTTATGACATTATGTTCACTGTGGGTGTCTAAATGGCAGTGGCCCACCAGTCTTATATTGATATTTTTGATTTATGAGCATTTCATACTGACTGCAATGCTAATCTTTACTAATTTAATTTCTAAATAAAACTAAAAATGTTCTTAATTTTGCCCCATACTCTGTGGGAACATTAAAATTAAAGCTTTAGTTGATCTCTTATGGTAAATTAATTCAACCACCCCTATAGGATATACACACACACATGTATTTATTGAATTTGTTTACCATAAGAGACTAAGCTTTATAGAGAGAGAGAGAGAGAGATGCAAATAATATAAGCGTTTCTGCATTCTTTAGAATCAAGTAAGGTCATTTCACGTTCATCAATGCAAAATAAAACAGGGAACAAAGGGCACAGGGCTTGACAGCTCATACTTCCCGAAACACATTCTGATGAAAGCACTGCAACTGATGTCATAAAAAGAAAATGAAAGACATTGATTAGCATGAGTCATCGTCAGGCCCGCAAATAATCTGTTCAGTGTTTGATTACTATATATTTTAGCTAACTTGATTATTGCATTCCACATATTCACCCCCAAAATTAGCAATGAAAACACAAATCATTCTGCAGACTGAGATTCCCTCAAATGAGACATACACACAAAATAACAGGTATGCAAAATTGAAAGTCTCTTTTATACAAATTCAACACAAATGTCTGATATTCTAGTGAAATAATGGGAATTTTCCCCTGATATTTGGAGCTGAGCCCACCTGCGGCTGTGATTACATGCTGATCTGGGTTTTTTTTTTCTTTTTCTTTAGTTTTTCATCTTTCTCTGCCATTTCATCAGTGAGTCATCACACATGAGAGTACAAGGAATCACAGCACATCTCAAAAAACATCTCAAGACATCAAAAAACATCAAAGACACCATACTCAGACTGAAATCATTCAATTCTCCCAACTTGATTCAGCATCCCTGCCTCTATCTCCTCATGTTAAGCCTTCCCTTCAGAGACAATGGGATTTAGGACTAGAGTTTATCACTTCAGAAAAGTGATGATACGCCACTGTTCTTCTTTTATACCAAGCTTCAGCCTCTATCTTTTTTTCCTGTTTCCAATAGTAACAGACTGCAGAATAGGCAGTCATGGTGATCTGAGCTCTTTTGTGATGGAGGACGTTGGTAAAAAAAAAAAAAAAAAAAACATGCATGTTTTTTTATGCAAATGTGTGTTAGTTAAAATACAGGTATGCACAATTTTATGCTAACACAATAACGTTAGATAAGTCAAAATGCATAAGATGACTGATGTAAAGTGATTAGAACATAGAGAGCAGTTGTCTTATTTGAAGTGACCTTTGGATATTGTCAAGTCTCGCTCTGGTGAGATAAATAAACTGAATAAGAAATAAAAAGAGAGTTGCATTCAGTTGATGTTTACATCAGGATGATAACTGACAGCACCATATCCAGCACTTCTATATTTCTTGTACACTGGGTAAAAAAAAAAAAAACCCATAAAGACCTGTGGAGAAAACCACAAGTCGTCTTAAATCTCAAATGTAATGCTACTTGTCATCTCTTTGGTTTGACAATGACAATATTTCAGTCCTTGTATGTCCAGCCAATTCCTCACTCTCTCTGTCTCTTTCAATCTTTATGAAAGACCACAGTTTCTGCCTCCCAGTGCATGAAAAGCCTGGTGAATGTCCTACAACACATACTAACCTCCAATTGTAGTTGACGGTAAGGCCATTTTTACCTACAGAATAAGCCTATATATTACCACAATTGCAAGCCTTATTTTTGCATGATTCATCGCAGATTATTCCAAAGAAAATATTTTCAACTTTTGAATCTTTTATTAAATGCACACAGAAAAGACTTTCCTATACGACTGACGTCATAAATCTCTCTTATTTTTTACCCCTCCCCTCCAATCACCTGACTCATTCTGGCATGTAACGCCAACTCTTCATTGTCCAATCAATTCTCAATAAAATCAAGTCCTGTCTCATTGAATATCCTGTTTCACATATGAACAGCAATTCATGTTGACTTATGAAATATGAATATAATATGAAATATATGTTTATGTATAAATCTATATGGTTTCATGTACAGCATACACTGTATCTGGCAAAAGTTTGGGGTCAGTAAGATCTTTTTTTCTGACAGAAATTAATATGTTTATTCAATAAGGATGCAAAATGTATCACAGTTTCCACAAAAATATGAAGCAGCACTACTGTTTTGAACATTGATAATAATATAAAAGGTTTCTTAAGCATCAAATCATCATATTAAAATGACTTCTGAAGAATCATGTGACACTGAAGACTGGAGTAATGGCGGCTGAAAATTCAACTTTGCCATCACAGAAATAAATTACATTTTAACATATATATACAACTGTTTTCAAATTCTAATAATATTTCACAATATTACTGTTTTCAATGTATTTTTTTTAAATAAATGCTGCCTTGATGAGCATAAAAGACTTCTTTCAAAAACATTACGAACATCTTACTAACCCAAACATTTGAATGGTAATGTATACATGGAATTATTTCTAAATGTAAATATATCGGGTAAATCTTGCTTCTTCATGAAAGTTGAATCTATTTAGACGTTATTATGAAGGTTCCATTGGTCTAATTGGAAATAGTTATTTCTTCTCTTTGGACACAGGAAACTTGCTCTGAATGCATTATTAGTTTTGTCTGTGATATATTGTGCACTCTCATCCTTTGTGCTGTTTCTAATTCTCATTTGTGCAGTGATTCTCTTTGGATTATAATAGAGGCCCAATTTTCCTCCCTAACTCTTTGTAAGCCATAGACTTTCTTTGTTTTTGAAATCCAGTGTGAGAATTTGTTTGTTCTTGAATCTGCCCTGATTTTGAATCCACAAAAGATGAGAAACACTC